ATTCTAAAGAGCTACTTTATCAGCCCAATTTATTATTTTTTTTAAGCCTGCAGTCTGCCTGTGTTAGAACTCCATTTGACAAACCTGCCAAAACCTTTCCATTATTGGCGAAATATTTTTTTGTATTGTTTAGGCGACATAACCCATCCTCCAGGAATCCTGGATAAGCTAAATGAAAAATGTTTATCAAGTTATAGGTTTACAATTGTACATACTAACTCCAACACTAGGCGAAGCCTGTTCTATGGGGGAAGTTAATGATTTACGCAATTGGTGGCAGCGCACGAACAGTAAACACTATTATTACAATAACTTAGGATAACACCAAAAAAATTAAAGGGAAATCTAGAAACAGATATATTTAAATAAAATTAATTTTTAATTAATTTTTGTATCGGACCGTATGCCATGCTGAATTGTTAAGTTGCTGTAAAATTATAAAATTTTTGAGTCTTTTCTCATTACTTTGAAGGTTCAATCTCTTTTTATCAAATTTGGGCTGAATTTCACCAAAGAGTAGATTAATATTTGTGCTAACCACTGGGTAACATAAGAACTTATTTAATTCTGAATTTGCAGCAGTTCCATAAGATAATTCGAGGGGTAACTTACCTGAGTCATCAATGTGTCGATCCTAGGATTAGATTGTGTAGCAGTGTGCCCTTGTTTTTATTTGGAGGCGCCGATGTAATTGTTTTTACTTATTTTATTGTAATATCTCTCTTCTGAAGACGGAGATGATTGAGAGATATCCTCTTAAGACAGCTTGGCAGTAGTTTGAGTCGCCTGAAGGTTCATCTTGCCAGAGTTTGAGCCAATATTTTCAACCGACTTAAAAAAAGGAGGAGGTTCTCAGTTACCTCAGAACTTACCGACTGAGTGAACGGATTTTGATGAGTTTTTTTATTTGAAAGCTGGTGCTTCCCATGTGGTCCCATATTCATTTCATTGGCATTGGATCGTGGGCTCCAGAGATACTTGGGAACTCCTGAAAATCAATTATTAAATGAATACAGAGCGAGATATTTGAAGTTGGTTTTGTGTTTAGTTTATAAAAAAGTAGTGTTTCAGTTCAGTTTCAGAACAAAATAATTAATACTTTTATAATTTAATTAACTTAAAACAGCCTCAAATTAGCAAATGAACTTATTTTCAAGGCATTTTCGGTAAGAGAATTTAAATAGTTCGTAAAAATGAAAATTTTTGATGTTTTCTACAAATTTTCACAACATTCTTTGGTGACAATTTGAGAACTAGTAAGAGGTAACATCTACAGATAAGGTGTGTTTCTTATATATAATAAAGTTATAGTAAAGTTTTTCACAGACAGTTTCTTCATTAAATTTCAAATTTTTGAGTCAACATGATCATCACCAATGATTTTTCAATTTCAATTTTAATTGATTAGAGTTGAATGCAACTCAACACCCATAGACATTGTAACTATAATCTCTTACTATCAGGTGTACCCTTTGTGTTTTCATCAAGCCAAGAGATGAGCTCTCGATGTTCTGAGGGATGTAAATGTTGAATTGGTGTATTGAATTATATTAAAAAAGTTGTTTAACCAACAGTTTGCTGCAGAAATAAACTATTTGAACATTTGGTTGTATATATAATACAAAGTTCAAATAATTCAAGTTGTGGGTGCCTGTCTCTGTACTTTATGTATTGGAACTACTGCTGCATCAGAGTATAATGATAAGGAAGAAATAAAAGATATAGAGAGATCAGTTGTATTGTGTGTTTTATAAGAACTGTGTAATCAGTGCTTTTATTAGAAGTTACCGAGGAGAGTGAGAATAGATTGGAATCTTGTGCAAGTTGTTCAATGACAACTAAGTATGCAGATCCATTTCTATGGTAACACAATTACTTGGTTTGGTTCTGGTATCTAAAATGTTTCAATATGAGCTTGATATTGTATATACCGTAATTGAATTAATAGGATGTTGTAAAACATTTCATTTTAGGCATATTTTGTGTCTAAATGTTTAATTACTAAATAATAACATTAAGGTATTTACAACGGATAAACATATCTTGTATTACAGGACATCTTGTACACATTGAATATGAAAGAAAGAATAGCATGTATTTGGTGAATATGGTGAAACAGAAGACAGTCATAAACACAGGAAAAAAAATGAAACATGGTACAAATAATAAGATTCCATAGTTTGTTGTACAGCATTATTAGCAAAGTATAATAAACAACTTGATTTTTGATTTGTTGAGTTTTTTGTGTTATCTACCAAAAGATATGGTCAATGAAAAACATTATTTAATTGCTTTTATTTACAATTCTGGGTTGTGTTGTCAAATATGATATAACTGACTAGAAATAACTGTGGTGGGGCCACGCAAAAGTTTTCGCTGTTGAATGATTGGGCAGGTTAGTTCTATAAGTAACACGACTTCACAGAAAGAAGACCGTCGTGAAGTATACTTCTGCGTTTCGTCTGATGAGTGAGGTACTCAAGGCCAACTATATTATAAGGTGGCAACGCATCTGCAATCCAACCGGTTATCACTTAACATCTGGTGAATCGCCAGTTCGCTTGCCACCTTCTCACAATATAATTGAGTAAAATTAAAGATTCCGATTTAAGATAAAGATTCAAAGTCTTACGAATTGGCGAATAGTGCCTAGCTAATTCGTCAGAAAGATCGATACCTTTTTTTATTTCTTCTATTATTGTATTCCAATATCATATTAGGCTTTGGACGCGGGTTTCGACCTGTATTCATCGTTTGTTCATTCACGTCCCTCTTGTCATGCCATTTTAAGTTCGTCACATTATTCTTTTGAGCAGCAATTTGCTCTCCTCTTCAGTTTTTTTTGTTTTTGATCAATAAAGGTAAGTTAACGATTTTTCCCCAATGTCCCACAAATATCAGTTTTACATTGAAGCAAGTATTCAGCTAATGGTACACTTGTATACCAATTATCTGCTACAATCATTCCCCCTGGTCGGTCCAAAAGGTTTTCACAAACTTCCAGTCGCTGACTTCGTGGAGTGTGCCCAGTTTGAGTTGGCCTTAGAGAACCTACTGATGGTGGACTGTTTGAGACAACTTCCTCTTTCACTTGATCTTGGAATATGTCAATTGTTAATGAAAACTATGTAAAAGGAATTGAATGGGATGGTTCTTTTTTATTCCAATGATTGAATTGTACTAAAAAAAATCAGCAATTTGTACGACTGTTGGACTGCCAAGTGACAGGTTGCTACTTCAAAACAAGACTGTTAAAAAATTATGGGTATAATATAAGGACAAAGCTTAAGTCGCCTCTAACCACACCCATGGGAAGAAAGGGTTTAGTATATTCTTACCCTGTTACTACACAATAATACTTTAATTTATTGCTTCCTTTTTCTTTGTATTATTTTTTAAATCACTCCAAACCTTTGAAAGATAACATAACCAATTTTATTGAAGATGAAATTGACCCGTGGGAATATACAAACAGGTGGTATTGATTCTCGCAATGCATTAATACCGCCGAAAATCGTTACAAGTGTCCCTCTTTCAGCTGACGTAAGTTTGCCCAACTTGCTTAGAGCCTTTAAGAGCAACCACTTTCTGGGTTCGTTATATCGTTGATAATCCAGTTTTGTCTATATTGTAAATAGTCTCAGGGCGAAATGGGAGTGAGACACATTATATTTGGCTCTTGAAGAAGCTTTTCAATTTCGACAATGTTAACTGTCGCTGTGTTTTGTAGCACCAAACGTGCATAGAATCGGCATCAGAATCGTTCCATATTGAAAATTCAGTGCAACTTGATTGTTCAGGCTGAACTTCTGTAAGAAAACTTTGTAAAACTCGAGTCGGAACGGCGTTACTAAATGTAAGTTTTAAAGCCGACAAGCCTTTTTTTTATTTGGACTAACACGGAATCATTTCGATTGTAACCTTGGATCTATGTTTGTTTTTTCAGCAAGGAGCATTTTCGTTTCAATGGCTCTGAATTAACTCTGATTTTAAATTTACTTACGCTTGTTTCTTGTGTCCCATTTTTGGACTATGAGCGTCCACAAAATCTCGATTGGATTTAGATCCGGCGATATGGATGGCCACTCAACTGTTTAAATGTCATCTTGAGTGTCCAGCCACTCTCTTACGACGCCCGCTCGATGTATCAGACAAGTATCTAGAACGAATACTATTTCTGGAACATCTTCAATGGGATACCGTGCACACAGTTGGAATTATTCATCATCTGAGGTTGAAAAATTATATATTCATACTTTTGGCGATTTGTCTTATAATTGAACTTGCTTAATTCGTACTCCTGGGACGTGTTTTCGGCATCCACAAAATCGACAATATACGATCAACTTAATCGTGTGAAGGCTATATATACTGCGTATGGAAATGGTAATGAAAATCACTGCGGTTAATGGGAGTCACCCCTACTCTCATAACCTTAAGGTGACAACTTAAAAAATAAGATTATAAGACAATTGCTTTAAGATTTATCACTTCAAATGTTTCAGAAACCCGATCCTCAATGATCAAACATAAAAAAATATCGGAGTGCATTGCAGGAATCTACTTCCCGTTTATTATTTGTTCACTAAAAATTATATGTAAATAGCACGGAAAAGTGATGCGCTCCAAGCGTCGTGGGGGTCTTCTACAATGCCCTTTGGGGGGGCCTTGCAGGTGCGGGTGTCGAGGCCTTTAAAGCTCCCCGGTGGTTGGGGCCTATTTAGGCGCAGCAGTATAAGCGTTTAACGCTAAGCGGTGTAGCCTCACAGTCCGTCGAGATGCCCGGCGAGTAGTGAGGTTAGGGCGCTGTTGTGGCAGCAATAATGTTGTTGATGGCTTCACTTGCGATGCGTATTAAGATTCGCACCACTTCGGTTATGTTTTCCGTTGTAATTGTTTCACGTGTTCTTGGGTATTCACTGGGGCGGTGTGCACGACGTACGGTTGTTGGCTCCGCCCTTATGTTGTCCGCGAAGTGTAGCCTTCTGTCTTCGCCGCTAGGTGGGGGCGAGTGGATTCCTTGACGGGGGCGGGGGGTTTAACACTGCCGTCTCCGTCTCCGTAGCTGGCGTGGGCACTGACGGTGCGTCGCTCGCAGACGTCGCGGGGGCATCACGTCCGTGGCGCCTGCGTCGATGGCTTCGTATCCGCTGTGTAGGCGGGTTGGCTGGCGGCTGTAGTGTAGTAACTACAGTTGCGTTGGTTCTTGAGGCGGCGGCGGCAATGTTAGTAACCCGCTGCGCCGTCACACACACACACACACACACGGGTCTTCTAAGCCCTCCGTCTGTCGAGGTTAACCTCATGGGGCTTCAGCAGTCTGTGCCCCCGGTAAGGAAGTCTCCGTCTCCGTAGCGGTAGCAGTTGCTTCGCGAGTTGAACGCTCGTCTTGGGATGTGGGCGTGGGTGCATTACGTCCGCGGCGCCTCCGTCGATGGCTTCTTACTCTTGTCGTAGCAGGATTTGCTGGTGGCTGTAGCGTAGTTACTCGCCTTCCTATATCCTCCGCAGTGGTTCGCACTGCGGTAGGGGTTTGTAATGCGGTTCTCTGAGTACTCACGCCTTGTTAGCGGGGGTGAGGGGGGACTACTGAGGTGGGGGGAGCTGCCCCCCCCTATGGTTTTCCGTCTCTCTTCCCACCGTCGTCCATCCATTCCTCACGTCTTAAGGAGGGACGCGGCGGGTTGATAGCCATCCCGCGCTTCCTTGCTTCCCTAAGGAATGCGGGACATCGCCTGTCGTTGGCGGGATGTCGCTGCAACCCGCACGTTGCGCAAACTGCGGTTGGATAGCGGAATTGGGCATTCAGCCGCAATGTGGCTTCCTGCGCATCTAACGCAGACCACTGGCCTGTGGCAGTTTGCCGACGAATGCCCAAACTTCTGGCATCGATGACACTGGGGTGGGCCGGCTTTTCCCTTCCACCCCTCTATTTGGATTCCCGGCATGTTAAGTAATTCATTGATATCGTACAGCCGAGCCGCTTCTCTCGTCTTGAGGCGCTCGAGCTGTACGAAAAATATGCATCGGCTTCTGTTTCTTGCAGGTGGAATCAATTTGGTATACGTTGCCGGGAACCCCAATTCGCGCAATGCGTCGGTGATGCTCTCCGGCTCCGTTGTGTCTGGTAGTCCTCTTATTCCCACTTTTGTGGGGGAGCTCTCTGGCGGGTGCATAGCAGTGACCATGTGATACTGCTGTCGTTATTTGTGGCTGCCGTTAGGTGCCGCTGTATTACGCGGTACTCGTGTCCGGATTGAGGTAAGAATCGGACACCCTTCCCGAAGGCTCGCGCGTTGGGGGCGTGTCCGAGTTTGCCTTTTAGGGCCGCAAAATGGCTGTCCCAATTGGGTAGGTTTTCCACAATTATTGGTGGATATCCTTTTTTAGTGGGTCAGTCTTGGGAGTCATTTGCTCTTCGGCTTGTGCGGATGTCGATGGCGTCGGTGTCCTTGCTACAGTAGCGTAGGATGCTCCCTCCTGTACGACTTCCATACGCTCCGGAGTCGTACGCACGGTGTGGTGTGAGGGGGATCTTTGTGGCTGCGAATGTCTGGTTACGTTGGTGTTCATTGTTGTGTCTTGGTCTTCTTGGTTGGTGGCTTCCGTTTGGTCGACGCATTGCCGCTTTTCAGTAAGCGACGCGTTGGTCTCCGGCGGCGTATGACGCCTGCTAGTTTTCCTCTGGTGGTACGCCTTAGCCGGGGTGGATAGGTACATAGACGCACCACCGTCGGCCTTGACTACCGCCACCCTTGAAGTACTGGCAACGCTCCTCTGGTACTCCTCCTCGCTCGTCGATAGGTATCCCTCTTCTAGCTGGTGTCGCTGCGGTTGCGGGCGCAACAATTCCCTTGGGAGCTCAGCTCCCTCGGTGAGCGGTTGGTCCGCTGCTGCAGGTGTGCGGGTCCTCCTGCGAGGCTTGGGCGGCGATGTGCCCTCCATCATTCGCGGCTCCGTCACTGGCCCGTTTTTATGGGCGGAATCGATCCCCTAGGCGAGCAATGTACCTTACTCCCTTCGGCGCGGGCAACTTAGCCGGTTGAGACCCCTAGGGGAGGCCCAGCGAAGCGCCCAGCGAGCAGGGAGGGGTAACGACGTCGCTATGTGTAGTGGTGATCGTCGCGCTTCCCAGCGCGCGCACTGCCTGCCCTTTTCCAAGGAAAGGGGAGACACAGTGCGTCGTCGCGCAAGTAGTCTCACGGTCGCAGGGGTGCGTGGAGTCGTGAGGCTTGCACGGCGCACACGTCCCGGATAAGGTGGCCTAGGCTGCTCGAAGCTTCACGGAGTTAGTACCTCGACGTTAGGCGGAGTGGCTTCGGCGGACTTCGGCTGGATGGCTTCTATCACACACGATGTCGCGGAACGGGCGCTGCGCCGTCGACATTAGGTCGTTATATATGTCCGCGGCAGTGGTTCGTGCCGCGGTAGGGTGTTGTAAAGCGGTTGCGCCTCTATTCGCTTGCTCCGGGTCGGTCGGAGGGGGTGAGGTCGAGGTTGGGGGGGGGAACTGCCCCTTCACTTCGGTCTGTCCGATGTTGTATTTGTTCGCGCCTATCTCGGCCGACTGTTACCCAGCCGTCTTCAGTAGGCGCGTTTCTTTGGGGCTCAGGTCGTTGCGGGTGTATTCTCATGCCCCTTTTCCTTGCCTCCCTTATTTAAGCGGGGCAGCGCCTATCGTTGGCGGGATGTCGCTGGCGACAATTTGCGCATCTGGCTGGGGTAGTGAGCGGCAGTGGGCAATTTGCCGCGATGTGGTTGTCCGCGCATCTGACTGCTGTCCATCTCGTTACTTTTGGACTATGCAGTGGTTTTTGATGTTTCATTTTTGGTTTCTCGTCGATCCAATAGCGACAATTTTGTCGGTTTACGCACCCATTTAAATGAAAATGAGCCTCGTTAGAAAAAAGTATGTTGTCAAAAGTGGAAAATCGACTAATTATTTCTTCAGAAAATGCCAACCTTGCTCCGAAGTCGGCCTCTTTTAATTCCTGTTTTAACTGGAGCTTATAAGGATGCAGTTAAAGATCCAACTTCAAAATTCGCTGTAAACTTCGTCGCAACAAGTTTAAAGCCACCGATCGCTTCCGAGTAGACAATTGCGGATTTTTTCCTACTGACTGCTTCACCCGCTCATTATTGTCTGTGGTCCTAGACGTTCTTTGACGTCCTTTTGCTGGTGGTTTAAACGTGGAACCGGTCTCTTCAAAACGCTTTATCCATATTTTAGTTAAATTTGCACTCGGAGCTGTCATTATAGTGTGTGTTAATCCATATTCTGAATAACATTCGCCTTGTAGAGATGTATGAACGACCGTTCTCGTAAAACGTGCGAACACAAAAAGCGCGACTAAAAGCGAAAAGCGCGAAGTGGGTCATGGTTACTAAAACTCCGTCTCGAGTGGCACTATCCAACCACCCTAGGCTCCCCCCGCCCGCACACTGTTTACTCCGCGAAAAAAGATGACGCAATATGCACGTTCTATTGCGCCACCCTGTATATTTCAGGCTTCTCGATGCAGAAAAATAATTTGTTCTTTCTTCAGTGGTCAAATTACTCGTTATTATATAGTCCGGTATACGAACACAGGTCACAGTTAAGGCGATAAATCAGTCCAATATTCAAGCAGAGGTCACTAATAGGCGATCACTATGACGGCAGTCGAAAAATTCGGGAGCGGGTAAATAGCGGCAATAACAACACGGAGTGCAGTAAGCGAATAGTTTGTTGTTTGTTTCTAATTACCGATGCTTTTGCACACTAAGATAATGAATCCCAAATGCATCCTAATTGATTAGCTGCTAAAGCATCGATTGCAAGGATTAAGGCAGTCTTTTCTTAAGTGGAACATTATGAATAGATGTGGCTGTCACAAAAAAAATTGAGATGTGGCTATTTCCTAGTCCACATTTAAAAGTGTGAAATAACTTTTCATCAAAGAAATCGTAGCAATTACTTTATCTCTCATTGTCACCCCTTGTAAAAGTTTGAAACAGTGCAGAGCAGTTTGCTGGAAGAAACACCGCAGTGATGTATTTATCCTCTGTTGTCAGATCTTATTCAGATAGATGACCAGGAGAGTTATCAAGAAGCAGGAATGCTTTTTGAAGAAAATTATAATCTCACAGCCGTTATCTAACTTCTGGTACGAAGCGTTTATCAAGCTACTTTTTGAACAAGGTCTTTTGTCATCCACGCACTTTTTGTCCGTTACAGGTGTGGTGTATCAATTTTTTTAAATGCACGTGGTTTTTGCAAATTCTCAGTGTTTTGTGAATACCCTGCTGGGTTTGTGACTGTCTAGATTACTTTGTATTTATACGTAATACACAATGAATAAACAGTAAACAACAAACCCACGCTAGGCCGATTCGATACCACATGTAGTAAAATTAAAACAGCAATAAGAATCAAAACAACACGCGTCGAGCACAATTTCAGTGTAGTGGCGCCGTGTACAAGTAGCATCCTGTTCAATTATGCATTACCTACATAAGTTAAGATTTGTTCAAAGTAATGCGTGTGTTAGACATATTCACGACATGTCAGATTATAGGGAGCATATTTATAAGAAATGAAGGAAATGCTAAGTCAGAGCATGTTATAGATATGTTTCTGTATCTATGGCTCCAAATACAGCCAAAAAGTTTTCCAAAGGATCTTGATTGAAAGTTCTCATCCAGAGAGATGTCAAACTATACTTTTTTAAATGAAACTACTTTACGGATTTTTATTTTAATTAAAATTCCCGACGTTTCGAACCCTTTCCAGCGTTCATGGTCACGGGACAGGCTAAGTTTTTAGACGTCTTGATGTCATAGTTAACCCCGGCTACCGTCAATTATTTTGTTTATTTTTATTTGGATCCACGCAGAAGGAGCTTATGGTATCTTGAGGTCTGGCAGTGTTGGTGTGCTTGGATTTAATTTTATAAATTATGGGATCCCAAGCAGATGATAAACTCCAACCATGTTCTCTATTGAAATTAGGATGTTTCTTTATTTCAATAGCCTCGCGGATCATCCTTGGAAGGAATCGGTGTTCTTTTGCGAGGATTTTCGGTTGATCAAATCTAATGTAGTGGTTGGGGGCGGTCTAAAATATGATCACAAACTGCAGACTTCTTCAACCGTCGGTGCTTCACGTCAGCTATGTGTTCTTTAATTCTGGTTTTAATTGATCGTTTTGTTTGTCCTATGTAAGAGAGCCCACAATCGCAGTCAAGCTTGTACACTCCTGGATCTTGTAGAGGGATATTACACTTGACAGATGGTAAAAATTGACTTATCTTCTTCGGTGGCTTGAAATATGTTTTAATTGAAGCACGCTTCAAGATATAGCCAATCTTGTCAGTGACTCCTCTGACATATGGCAATACAGCAGGCACTCGCTCGACTGTGGCCGGTTTCACTCGGTCACTGTGACGCAGGCGCGAGTTTTGGAGCTTGTTGTCACGCAGCACTTGCTTGACACATTGTGTAGCTCAGCGGCCAGGTGTTCCTTGTCACAGATCCCTCGTGCTCTCGGTAACAAACATTTACCAACCGTAGCTAACTATGAAGGGTGGTGGTGAGAATCACCATTTAAATATTTAGTTGTATGGGTCTCCTTTCTATACACAGTATGGCTCAAGGTGTTGTCAAGATTTCGGATGACTAATACATCTAGAAAGGCTAAGGAGTTACATGTCTCTAATTCCATAGTGAATGTAATTTTAGTGTGTAAGGAATTGAGGTGGTTTAGAAATGCATTTACTTTGTCTGATGGTAAAATTGTGAAAGTATCATTTACATACCGCTTGTAAAATCTAGGTTGAACGGGTGCTGTTTGAAGGGCCTTCTCCTCAAAGTCTTCCATAAATATGTCTGCGACAATGGGAGATACTGGGCAGCCCATTGCTACACCATCCAACTTGCAGTTTATCGAATTGACGTCCAGCAATTTTTCGAAGTGTTTCTTTAGGTGGTTAATCTCACTGACAAAATGGTATGAATCTTTAAATTGTACGCCGTTTAACAACCGTATGTCCTCTTTAAATCGCGGCGTTATTGCGAAATTCAAACCTTGTCGATAATACTTCTAGAGTTGGTTCGTCCGCGGGATTGTTTTGACAGATTTCTATAGACGGTTTTGACAGATTATAGACGGCGCGTAATCTATTGTCTGTGGTCTCGGTCAAAGATCGCGTACCGTTCGGTCGTTTGACATTTGATTTGGTGGATAGTTTTTCAAATTTTTGTAACTGTTTGTTTTTGCATTCATTGTATTTTGATGTCTCACGCCTATTTAAAGTATTCATGCAATTATTAAAATCAAATGTTGTTAAAATTATTTTTAAATCACTGGTCAAATTATCTATGGTTTTATTGATGACGAATAGATCGGATCGATTTTGACGAATCACCGTTCGTAACAATTTTATACTCGCCTGGTTTAAGATCTTGGCGCTTCCTCGGATGTCCTTTTTGGATGATATTGTGACACACGTAGGAATGAGATTGTGGTCTCTGCATCTTTTCAAGAAATTTAGCGATGTTAGATATCTTTTTTGATAAATTTTCCTTGTACTCAGTACAAGGTAATTTGAAACCAATTTTTTAATGATGAAACAGAGCTTGTCTTTATGTGTTTTTCATTTACAAATTTCCATGACCCCAAAACTTTATTCAACTGCCGCCTCAACATACTGTGACTTGAATTTGGTGTCACTGCACCTAGAAGAGGCATTCCACTTCTTTTTTTTCAAACTTCCGTTTAGGGAATCTAATAAAATTTCTTTTTAAATTGTTCTGCTTTACGGGTTTGATTAATCAAGTAGTTACTGACAACATTAGCGGTACCTTGATGACAAATTGTTGCCACTACTATAAATCCAATAGAATTTAAATTTCCTTTCCTTAAGACGTATGGATAGGTCCATTTTTGTGTAAATATTTCCTGCACAAAACGTATAGGAAATGGGCTTGGCGTCAATCAAGCAAGACATAATTTTCCATGCTTTACCATTTTTTGCACATTTTTTTAATATTGCAATAAAATTTTCTATAATATCTGGTTTCAATGAAGCTCGTGATACGGCTCAGTGTTAAAGGAGGTGCTAACATAAATACTTTTCGCAGACTAATATTTCCAGTAATACCTATTTAAATATTGAGATTTTTGATTCCAACTTAGAATTTATATAAAAGTCAGTGTTTATTCAAGAATTTAAAAGAATAAAGCAATTTCTCCTAATTTTTGTACAAAAAAATTTTATGTCGATGTCTTCATTACAGTAGTAATAGGCTGTGTTGAAGTTGATAAAGCAGACTACACTGGATCTTGAGTATTTAGATCAAAAATTTGACCCACACTGACGATTTGAAACGGTATGCGATATAACGATTATAAAGTTTTTTTTGAAATTTATAGTTATACAATTGAATATATTCAATTGAATTATTGATTGCAAGCAAATACATCAACATTTAATGCAGTAAAAGTACTACCAAAATAACTTACGTGACTTACTGCAGTTCGGGACACAGCATCTTTTAGCAGACATGGTAAAAATCTGAATCTTTGTGCACGAAATAGGAGTCCAGATTAAATAGAATCCAAAGCTTTTCCTATGGTAAGCAGAATCGTCAAGTCAGGGAAAGTGGCCGGGTTGTGGCACACGCAACTACTCCAAGACAAAGACGGAACAAAACAAACTGTTTTGATAAGCAGACTCAAGTCATATGCAAACCTTGGACAAATTATGTTTGAAACGAATAAAGTTAAAAAAATTCTAAATAAATTATTTTATTTTATTATTTGAGCCGTGATAGCTCAGTGTCCGGGCGCTCGCCTTTAATTCGATATACTCGAGCAACCTGAGTTCGATCCCGACTAGTTTCGGACTCATCGGAGGTCATTCATTAGGGTGGTCTCGCACTGCACGCCTGAGCCCACAGCGCGCGGGTTGAGAGGGCGGGGGGCGCGGGTTGCGCCGGCGATGATGACGCATCCGGCGAGATTGGTCTAGTGTCACTATTGGTGTCATGGGGCGCACAAAATGTACTCACTATGTTCACTACACAATCGCTAGCACTATTGTTCTTATTCCGTGTCGCATTCAACAACACGGGTTTCCAAGTTGGCGGCAGAGCCCATCCCTTGTCTCTATTAAAATTGGCACGGCGTTCGATTTCGATAGCTTCCAAGAGCTTTCGTGACACGAAGTTCTTCTCACGGGCTAGCACTTTCACCTTATCGAACCTAATAAAATGTGAGGTGTCGGAGTTAAGGGAGTGCTCTGCTACCGCCGAGGTGTTGCTGTCCATTTTGCGTATACTGCGGATGTGTTCGGTGAGACTAGTACTTATGTTGCGTCCCGTTTCTCCAATGCAGCTTTTGCCGCAGTCGCAAGGGATTTCGTAGACGCCAGGGCCTTCTAGAGGGTCCCGATCCTTAGGCGATCGTAAGAGACTTCTTACCCGTGTCATGGGGCGGAAAATTGTTCTGATGCAGCATCTACGGCGTAACAGGTGTCCAATTTGATCCTTTACCCCTCGCATATATGGTAAATATACCGGGACTCACTCCACATTCTGGGGTCGTTTTTTGCTACTTGTGTTTACCAGGCGGTAACTCTGTCGCCAGCTATAACCATTGCACTCTAACACCTGCCGCACGTGTGTCAATTTTACGTGAGTTCAGCCGTCTTAATATTACATTAATAATGTCTCACGAAAGTTTTAATAATTTTATCATTTACGGTGTGTTATCATTTAAATAATCACTAATATTATAATATCCTTTAACACACAAACGTTTTGATTTTGATTCGTTTTGAACGTTTTCTGGGACTTTTGTAAAAGATTTACTTATTCTACACAATCTAGTTGAGGGTAGAATGCATTTATAAATTTATGAAAATTCAAATTTATAATCTTGGAAATTCATTCTTATTTTAATGGACATGAATAACATCTGCAAATATACTGAGAAGCAACAGTCAATATTTTTATTTCTTTAAACAAATTTCTTAGTGATTCTTTGGGGCCCTGAAAATAATACCTAAAATACATTAAAATAATTTATAAAACGATTTTATAATAAGGATTAGGGAGATAAATAAAATACTTATGGAACTAGGATAGGTAAGGATTGAAAGATTCAAGCACTTACAACATTACTCTCCTTTGCGGAATCGATGCCTGGATTCGTCTCTGGGTTGCAGCACCCCGTAGTTTCTGGATCTTCTGCGCCAATCTTGATTTACTGACTCTACTTTAGAAGATCGTACTGACTGCGCCAATTATGTGAGCTCCAGCCAGAGGTTGCAAAAAAAAGCAATTCTTATTAAAATATAATTTACTTTACTATAAAATATTACATTAAAATTATAACTAAGTAAGGTGACTCTAATTCGTCATCACCGTGTTAAAATCCGACAACTTTGCAGAACCACCACTAGAACATTTCTCGCATCTCGACCTGATCACGCCCGGTTGGCCGCATCCATAGCAACGTTTCGGATTAGACTCTTTCTTATCGCTCGACCGTTCCATATTACGACATGAGTTCGAAACGTGCCCATAAACTTTACAACGCGAACACCGGACGCGTCTACGATTTTCGTTCGAGTTCGAAGTGAGTTTCGCACCGATGGTACCGTTCGAGTTCGGAGCGAGTTTCACACCAATGGTACCGTTCGAGTTCGCGGAAGCGCTGTGCTCGAAGTCGAAATTTGAAAAGCCGGAGATCGCGACGGAAGTTTTATTTCCTCGATAGCCTCCTCGGTGACTCTCACTTTCTCAGACAAGTGGTCAAGACTAATAATACCGTCGCGTGCTAATCGTTTCTTAATACGACGGTGCAATAGTCCGTAAATAATGTCGATTTGCATGGTCTCGGGTACACTATACGGTAACTTAGCGATTATCGCTCGCACTTTAGCCACAAAAACTTCACCACGTTCATCACCCTGTTGTTCCGCGGCGAATATTTCTCGCAGCACCTTGTAGGCGGGCGGCGGGCTGCCGTACATAGTACGTAGTCGCACCACGGCTTCCGACCACGACGACACGCCGTTGCGGGCTCCTCGCCAGCACACAGCTGCATTTCCCTCTAATAACATGGGAAATCCCCGTAGTGCGTGCTCGTCCGACACGTCGGCGCAATCTTTATATACTTGAACCGCTTCTATAAATGCCTCCACAGTCTCCGCGTCGCGTGCTTCCCCGTTGAACCTCGCCGTACACCTCGAGAAGTTTCCTCCGGGCGCGGCGGACGTACTTGCAACGGGGCTAGAAGCAGTAGGCGTCGACTCCGTTGTACCTTGCAAGGACCTCATGGTCTCTATGAGAATTCTGTTCTTCTCCGCCTGGGTCCTCACGAAGGTCTCCATTACGGTAGCTAGGATTTTCTCCATCCCCACCGGTGCACCAGACTCGGCGCAAGCGCTGGCGGGGTGAAACGCAGGAACGGCGCCGCCGTCGGCGCGCGATTCGACCGTTGAGTCTTCGTATTCCGGATCACTGCTATCGCTTCTCTCCTCTCGAATTCCATGTTTACTTTGTGTCGTAACACGCGTTGTTGTGGGCATGTTTTATGTAGATATTTCGGGTCGTGGCTCTCGCTTGGGCGTCCACAATAACGCCCTATGTCGCACGTTGGGATGCTACAAATAGGCTTACTTATGCCGCAAGTTGGGCGCCACTATAAGGCACTGTTGCAGTTTGTAAATACTTTATTCACATCAACAAAGAATTGAAACTGGCATATGCCTTACAAAATTAACTTTGAAACTTGTGAAACTTCGAGAATAGTGAGAGTCGCGGGGTAATACGATGCACACGTCCTTTAGGTACGACGCGTGCGCACCGACTGGCGACGGCGGGCCCCCGGCAGGGCCTCCTGCCGGGCGGCCGGGACTCAAGGCCACGCGCCTCTAACGATCAATGCCTACCTAACGTTTTAAAAACCCCCGCGCGTTACAAATATTATTTTTAATCAAATTCTTATTTTTAACTATGGAACCGTCATATACAGATCTGCTTTGCCAGTGCTTGTGCCAGCTAATATGACTGACAAAATTATCACATTCTGTCTGCGAAAGAACTGCCATTGAGCGCTGACACTCACAGAATTTTTTGGATAATGACTCAGCGCTCCTCATTGTGCTTTCATAAAATAACCAGCTCTTCCACGGCCAAAATGTGCTCGGAAATCTTCTGGGCTGATTTATATTTGTAATGATGTTAAAAGAGTGATATAACCCTGAAATTTCAGAGTTAGGACCCTCTATGTCAGCCTCATAGCTAATATTATCTACCTCAACCGAATACTATAGAAATTAACTGTTGTTTTTCTTTACACAGTTTTACATAGTTTTTGGTATCAATTTTTCTTTTAATCAATTTTTGAACTTTACTAATATATTTGTTATTTTTTACATATTTCATAGAAATCGTCTGAAAATAAACCAAGCGTTACGTGTGTGTTTTTATTATAATGGAATCTGGACACGTTAATTCTGGCGTATTCCCGACATTTCCACGATTAGCACCCAGCAAAAATGTTTTAAGAGGTTTCTAAATTTATGAAGAGAATGTGTGTCTTTTTAAAATATATAATTCGAAATTTTGTTAATATAGATGTTTGTACCATCATAAAGGGTAGGGTGGGGCAAAGATCCGCAATTTTAGGTTTTAACTTTTTTTCTCACCCAATAAGTAAAAAGTCCCACATGTTTTGGCTTCACTGGAAAGCTTAATTTATGTGCTACAATGTACCATTTTATTAGTAGCGAAATGAGCACCATTTAGAAAAAAAAAAGAAAGGTAGACAACCTTGCCTTTGCGGACCTTTGCCCCACTGTTTGGGGTAAACGTCCGCAGATGCGGGGCAAATATCCGCAGCTGTGGATCTTTGCCCCATTGAGACAAAATAAATAGAAAAATTAACTTTAATCTGTTTATTTACTGACAGTTATGAGTAAAACCAATCCAGTTCACTGACTGAATAAACATTTCGAGTTGTGCTGATTTTTTTTTTGACTCCTTTATACTAGAAACGACTGATCCCCATTCATAATCGAGAATGTCAGGCCGGTCGGGCCATTTCCATAATTTTCCAGCTTTCACCATTGACGATACAGTGGCATGGGTTTTTGAAGCGCCAGTAATAACTCCTGGAAACAGTTTTTCTTCATAGCGAACGGCACAAAATTCGCCTATGCACCTCTTTGGAGGCACCATCCACTCAGACGATTCTTCCATGTTCTGATCACTGTCAGATTCTGACTCATTGTAGACAGAAGTTCCAGATGAAATAGACTGAGACTGAGATGAGTCATCTGAATCAAACTGAAGTCCACGTCGTGGCTTCTTCTTCTGCTTTGCTGCCATCATGAGCTTGTCTTTCCGTTTCATTGCATTTTTAATTTTTCGATCTTCTTTTTCTTCGACCAATCTTTCAGCTCGTAATTTTTTGTCCCGAAGGGCTTTCTTGTGCGGAGAAGATGTTAGAAGTGTCGACTTTAAACTTCTTCCGCTCCGCTTACGTCGTGTTGCTTTGGGAAGAGGTAGTATATCTGCTGGAGACACAACTGACACAAGAGGTGACGTGGAGACAGGTCCAGGAGACATAGTAGAAAGAACAGGATCAGGCAGCCTTGAAGGTCCAGGAACAGGGAAGTCGAGAGCGGAATCGCAGTTATCGTTGCCAAAGTCTAATATTGGTTCTTGGATGAAATCTTCTTCCGGGCTTCGGTCAAGTACGGACGTAGGAGCCTGAGGCAGCACTGAAGGCTAAGGAACAGGGCAGTCGAGAACGGTATCACAGTTATCGTCGCCAAAATCTACCATTGGTTCTTGAACGAAATCATCTTCTTCCAGACTTTGATCCGTCACCTGGCTCGGAAGAAAATCAGCATCTGAGAAAACCCCGGGGTCCAGGGAAAAGATTCCCGTTGCGCGGAAGGAGGCAGTTGCTTTTTCAATGGTAGCTGTTCTTTCATAAGCCCGATTAAAGAGGTCAGCGACATGATAAACTGTTATTACCTGCCCGGGGTGGGACGATTGCCACGAATCCGTGACCTGGTTGTAGTAGATTTTGAGGGGTTTAAAAAACACCCGGTCGAGTGGCTGAGTTTTGTGGCTCGTATGGCGTGGCAAGCTGAGCATAACCACATTCAATGCTTCAGCCTGAGATATTGATTCGATTGAAACATGCGAGGCATGATTATCCAGGATAAGAAGGACAGGAGCTTCCGGAGTGGGCTTGGCATGTTCTGCAAAGTGGCATGTTTTAACCACTTAATAAATGTAGGTGTGTCAACATACCCCTTGTCAGTGACCGCCATCTTACAGCCGATCGGGCCATTTTTAATTAAAAGAGGGTTTTCCCTCTTTCTTTTGAATATAAAATAGGGCGGCATGTAGCCACCGTTGGCGTTGAGGCAGCAGATAACTGTGACTGTTTGGCCTTGTTCGGCACTTACATTTTTAGCTACTTCATTCTGGCCCTGGTCGGATACAATTTTCGGAAGTTTCTCTGGAACAGTCTGAATACCAGTTTCGTCCATGTTGTATATGGAACCAGGAGCAAACTTGTATTTTTGATAAGCCGATTCTAGGTTAACAAAAAAACCTTCCACTCGATTGCGATTAAAACCCATTGTTCGGGCCACTGACGTTTTCCTCGCAGTTCGCAGACTTAGTTTGTGTCTCTTCATGAAAGAAATTGTAGTCCTTCCCTGCCATTCCCTCCTCTTTATTAAAGTTGTGTCGAATTTTGTTTTCTTCAGCATATTTGAATATAAGTATTTGGAGCGTTTTGAAGGAAACACCATAAAACATATGATTCAAGGTTCGGCAGTGTTCTACAATATCCTTTTCCTGCAAATTAGTGAATGTTGTTGTGAACCGGCCCAGTTTTTGGGCGCCGCCTTCGTTTTTCAACCTTTAAAAAATCAAATCGGCATTTAGAATAAAAGATATAGTTACCTATTAAATGGTTAGTAATTTCTAACTCGTAACTCCATAATTTACTAAAGAGAATAACCTACCTCTTCCGTACAGTTGATTCAATGAATCCTAACTCCGCCCCAATTTTTCTAATGTATAGCCCCTGTTTTAGCATTTCTTGGGCCTGCAAGTACAGTTCTGGTGTGAACGGCTTCACATTAGTTTTGCGTTTGTAGTTCCTATAACGTAAAAACAAAAATTAGAACAGTGAATATAAATACACTATGCTTGGGGCAAACATCCGCGCGCGGACATTTGCCCCAAGCAAAGTGCGGACCTTTGCCCCATTTCAACTCAATGTCAACACAAAACTAACCTAAAAACAAGAGATTCGCATTTGGCCAAAATATTGTCCTTAGATCCCCTTTCAAAACCTGAATTATGGAATTGAACCAGTATAGAAGTCAGCAAAGCGTACAGAATATACATTTTCAACTGAGGATGACCTAGGGATTATTACATCAAAACAAGTAAAAAGCATTCTCACCTCATTGTTATTGTTGTGCCGGTCGCGCGCCAAGTAACTTTTGTGAGTTGTCTGCTATCAATGTTGCCAACATAAAAATGTGTCTAAAACCACGACAATATTTGGCGGTCATTTTAAATTGGGGGTGCGGATCATTTCCCATTGCGGATCTTTGCCCCACCCTACCCTATAACCATTAAATTATTTTAATTTCCAAATAGACCATTAGGAATTGTCAATGTGTTGAGTTGAATTGTGTTGCAATAATTCATCAAGAGTCAAACGTTAATACCCAGACAAGCAAGTAAAAAAACTTTGGATAAAATCTCCCTCACCCTGTTCACCAAAGGCTCTAGTGTACTTGTACTATAGTACTTAGTCCCCAGTTCTCATATTCAAAAGCTGGTAATCCTAATATTCCTCTGCGCAGTTGAGATACGTGCACTTCTTCAATTAATAGATAATCGTGTTAATGGTTGAAGTAATTGATTTATGAGGGGTTCGGGATGGATTATCCCAAGTCATTGATTCACAATTTAGTACGTTTATTGCACAATAACCACTTTTAATTTAATATTTTGTACAGAGCACATATTGAATGGTCGAGGCCGGAAGAGAGAGGGCGACTGAAAAGAAAATATATTTATTTGTTCTTCATAATTTTTAATAAAATTGATCTTCATAATTTTTATTATGAATGAGATGAATGAATAATAAACAAATCCTATCCAGCATTGAAATGTTCTTTCATCCATGAATTCTTACTCAAATGTTTATTACAAACGCGGTTCATCATCATCAATTGAAGCCTGGTTGCATCTTGATGATTCATACGAACCACCTAATATTATAATGTCATACTTAAAATATGGTTGTATACACAGCATAGCTTATGTTGGCTTGTGTAATAATATTACATATTTTTTCATCCATGTTATATTAAAATAATCACCTTCATTTTATACACCATAGAATTATACAGTGCAATAGTGCAGTGCAGTGGTTATATTAATATTGTATCCAGCTCTTGAACTAAAAGTCCCAGATGATCATGTGAAATTTTATATTTAGACAACTAATCTAAACATTGCTTGTTTATTACAATAAATTGGTATAAATTGGTGCAAAGGAAATGTTTATTAGCATACCAATAAACCCTTATTTCCGATGTGAATGCACTACCAACTGCCCTGTTTCCAGTTACAATTTGGTTCATATACATTTTTGCTTCAACAAACATTTGTGTGACTTCCCATAATTTTTACAAAACAACTTTTTTCCAAAATAGTACCTGTTTACAACCTAGTCAAGTTTGAGGGAGCAACAAAGACTTTTTTAAAAAGTTTTATATTAAAAATTAATACTAAGTCTTATTACTAGGGAGTGTCTTAACAGATTTAGATGCTAGAGACGACTCGTGAGAGGTCCGAACAGAATGAGATGCTCGTGACGACTTGTGACACGTCCGAACAGAATGGGATGCTCGTGACGACTGCCAGTTCTGTGTCTTACAATTATGTCTTACATTTCTAACTTTATTATCTAATATAAACAATTCTCACGTTACTGTCTGGCGAACAGGATGCTTATATCTGCGTTAGCAGTTTCATGAGAATTGTTACTGGCGAACCTGATGCTTTTATCTTGGTTAGCAATTTCTCAAGAATTGTTATTCGACCACTGTTATCGCTATGCTGACTGAGCAGTCTCGAATGCAGGTGTTCTTATCAAGCGCCCGGGTGGTCGCATAACTACCTAGAGGTCAAAGGGACCAGCTATTAAGACAAACAAAAAAGTTATAAGATTTAATTTTACTGTTCGACTACAGAAAAATGAAAATGCGCTAGCTATGACGCATTTTCAGTTTTAGTAGTAAAGCCCAAGTGTTGGGCTTTACTCAATTTTGTTCACCTGTGTAGTTCGTCTGTTTCTTGATCATCAAGAAGTATTTTAGGTACTTAAAATCTTTCCTCGTCTGATGTTCTCTTCAAATGACTTAATGCATTTCTAAACAATTTTATTGCATTCTGTTAAGTGTACAGAATGCAATAAAATTGTTTAGGCATAAACTTTTTGAGTTACAATAAAAATAAATCAATTTTGTCTTGGCTTTTTGCAAGTTCCAACCAAGTTGCTGGAACTTTCCAAATTTGTTCGTCACACGTAAGGGCAACTACCAACACCAGCTGCCTCTGCCATTTCAATACAACCGTGTACTAATTAGCTTTTTGATCCCCCGTCAACGAATTGATTAAAAAATGTGCCACTGGAAGCTTAAAACTTCGATTAAAGCTTAGAGAATCATAACTAAGCACTCGCTGCCTTCTTTGGTGTTGATTCCGCAGTTTTATGCCCGCAATAATTCTGCCATAAAACATTTTCTTGGAATTGTCCCAATATAGCAGTTTTCGATTCGCCATTTTTTCAATCACCTGAGTCGCAGGATTGGTCTTGGACTGTTTTGAGCCTTTATCCTAGAGTTTTAAAAGCCTCAGTAGTAAGTCCTGGTTCATTAGTTAATCAGTGTCCGAGGGTGAGGCAAACAATTTTTAATTAGTTAGGATTTTTATAAACATTGTATTTCGATTCAGGGGATACAGAGGATATAGTATTTTTCACAGACTTATAAAGTGAAGCAGACCTAACATATGACTAAAAAGCGTGCCAAATACACCCACATGCTTATTTCACGCACACTGATAAAATTCAAAGGGCCGTATTCGGGGACTTTAATGAATAAATTATTAATATTTCATTTCTTTAACACTTCAAAATTCAAAATTATTTCTTATTATTTTTTTCTAAAGTAATTACAATGTACAATTATAACTTAACTTTTTTATATAGTATTGTTACTTCTGTTTACCTACTTACTATCGTCATTTGATTTTCAAATACAAACCCCGTTTTGCGAGTCGAATTAACAATCAAATGTCCGTTCGGTAATTTTAAATTCATTATGTATTTCAGCCAAGTAGCAGTTAACTCTTTGGTCATTTCAATATTACCGCTACACAAAGTTTTTTTTGTGTTCCGCAAGTGTGGACCGACTATTTAAGATATCGAAAGAGTCGTTAATGATATAAATAAATTTAACTGTTGCTCTATAGCCCCTTTAAGTTCGTCGAAATTATCTTCACAAAAAGAAAGTGCGTCGGCAACTTATCTACTGAATAACTGCACCGCCAAACGCACTTTCATGAGCTTGTTTTAATTTATTGGCTAAATGCAACCCCTTTTCGGTTTGAAGTTTCAACAATTGACTGAGATATTGAAAATTTATCTCGTCACCGTCTTGATTGATTAAACTACCAAATTCGCCTAAGGTGTTTCTTACGACTTTTATCATATGGCAAGGGTCATAAAAAACATGTATTCTTCTACCCTTAAACATAAAGAATGGATAGAAATGTTTTAAATTGAAATCATATGCTAAATGTGTCGCCATAGCGATATTGGACGCAGCACCACGTTAAGCCACATACAAAAACATTAATGTCAAATAACATTTCAATTGCCATTTTGACTATATTTGAGCGTTGTTCGCCCGTAATGGAGTTTATGAAAAAATAGCCAATTGGAAGTATCTAATTAAAGTTTATTGCCGTCACTAATATTACTAACGCCTGAGTGGCCAAAGGCAAACTATGATCGAAGACATCTGTGCCAGTATCGACATAGCCTTTAAACTTATTTTCAGTTCCATCCCAGACTAATCCTTTCCTGATAGCCATTTCATCCAAACTTAAATTTACAAACACTTCATGTTTGCTTTGTTTAGCTAGAAACCTGGTTCAGCGTCAACTTTTTTGTACCAGCGTGACACCGTGGCTGGATGAGGTAAAACTGTGCTGAAGGAATTCGAACAAAATTATACGCTCTGCGCGAGTACAAATTTAATTGCACAGCAAAAGCTCTCAATTCAGGTGAAAATACTTTACTCACAGCGGGACTTATTGCTTTTTTTCAAATATGTAACAAAGAAATCTTTGTTTTTTATATTAATTCCCGACATTATAAGAAATTCATCCTGATTTAATTTCTCTTTCAGACTGGATATTATTTCAGAGAACTTTGACACTTTATTCTTAAGCCGTCTATTCTGTTGTCTCAGTGCTTTTATCTTTTTATTTTTGAGGAAGGCTTTATGTTTCATTTTTCTTATTTCTTCTTCTTTTCTATGATTGTCTTCATCCTAAAAGTAAAGAAATAACTTACTGCTTTTTTATCTTTGATGATACATACTTAACATGTTGTAATGAAAGGGAAAAGTCTTTAGAGAATGGCTTCTTTCAACCTTACTGGACTTTACCATAAAATCGTGATGACTCCGCGACGCAGTTGCCAAGGTATAGTCTTCAGCGTGGGGGTCGTGGGTTCGATCCCCACACAGGACAACTATTTTGTGTGACCCACATAAAGTTGTTTCGTATCTGAGTGTTTGTACACGTTAAATTTATGTTTGTAAGACGTCCTTGCAGCACAGGACAATGTTATCCTAAAGTAAGGGCAATGTAAAAAAAAAAGTACATTTAGTTTCTGGAAAGTCTTCAATATCATCAGCATGCCTAGCCAAAAAAAAATATATATATATATATATATATATAAAAGTATAAATATAAATATGTATATATATATATAAATATATATATATATATATATATATATATATATATATAAAAGTATAATCTCGTGAGTGAGTTTTTTTAAGAAGCATTCGTAACCAATATTTTCTGATCAAGTTTTGTAAGCGTTGAGCTAAAATCGCTCGAAGCTTTAAGACCTTAACAATTTGATCCTCTTCTTTAGTTGTTAGAGCAGTAGGATGTCCATGTGACGAATGCCCAGTTAAAAAACGATCAGAGAACAAACGATCAAAAAAGAGATCATGTAAATATTCCAGCGATACCTCAAACATTACATGTAGAATTATGGTGGAATAAAAAACACAACATACATCCATAAATCAGAGGGCTCCGTGGCGCAGCTGCCAAGGTTTTGGCTTCGGCCTCGGGAAACGTGAGTTCGATTCCCACACGGGGCAACTATTTGTGGGCCACCCGATTATTACCACAAATTATTGTTTTGCATGTGGGTGTTTGTCCACTTGAAATTTATGTTTGTGAATCGTCCTTACAACACAACAGGATAATGTTAACACGTTCAGTGCCACCGACTCGCCCGGCGAGTTCACGTAAATTTTATTCCAGTGCCGACGACTCGCCTGGCGAGTTCAGTGTTTTTCACCAATATTTCGAAAATGCATCCGTATTTTCTGCTCAAAATTATAGTTTAGACTAAATATATGCTAAACTAAAGATTTACGAGGTGGGCCGGGTGCGGAGACCCCGTTTATATTTGAATGGAAAAAAAAAACTATTCTGCAATGCCTTGAACTCGCTAGGCGAGTTCGCTGCCATAGATCCTCAACCTTTTAAAGTAAATATGTCGCGACGTCAACATAGTAGCAAGGACTACCTACATACTTGTGATATGGAACCAATATACCACAAACTACAGTGGAATCTTAATAACTCGAATGTTAAGGGAAATGCTAACAATTTCGAACGAGTTTTCGACTTACCAAAAACTTCGAGATACATATGATTTAAATGCGCTGAAAACTTCGACTTAAAAATTAATACTGACGGACAAGCTCCGTTAAAAGTAATCGTGTCGACAAGGAACAAACATAACACAGCTGTGTTACTTATAAAGTTTTATGATTGTTTTCATTCATTGCACGTGTATAAGACAAAAAACAATAGATTAGAAGCCCCGAACCCGAACATTCATTTTGGATTTTATTGCTATTATTTCGGGGAATTCCAAGTAAGACGTCATTATATTGTACTAACTACGACTTACGGAGTCTCCTTTTAGAAATTCGAGTTATAGAGTATTACATAAATATGTACTATCAATACTTCGTTGCCAGCCTTATACGGCCCGGCGACAGCAATTTGGATGCTGCCTTTTATATCTAGTTTATTTTCCTTTATTTTTCCTTTCCTTATAAATTTAGTTAAATAGATTTTTTATACACAATGTTTTATATAAGTAATAATATAGTTTTTAATTTAATTGTAATTTTAAGATAGATTTAATTTTTTACCCTGTTATTAAGCCAAGTAAGAATATATAATATATAAATACTTCGTAGGGAAATAACATTTTGTTCAAGTTCAGTGGAAGGGAATGGCAATTCTTTTCGACTTAACGAGGTTCGAGTTATAGAGATTCCATCTTAGTTTCATTAGAATAAAAAACAAGCTTAAGAAATACAGAGTTATCATAATATTTGAGATCACATAAATCTTGTGGCTTTGCAAAGGGTTGAAAATGTTTTTTTATAAAGGGTCGGCATTGATAAAGCTGCTGGCAAAAAAACAACAGCGCGCCGCTGTTTTTGAAGAACAAAAGCACTGATAACATTGTTTTTTGCGAAGCTCTCATTGGCTAATGTTAAATCGCACTCCAAGAATGCACTTGCAACTAAATATTCAATTTCAGTGCTCTGTACGACCCTTTCGTCATCGCATGCGTTTATCTGTTCTCTACTTTAGTGACCTGGCTTACATTTACTGGACTCCCGTGTTTTGATTACCTTGGCTTGCGATTACTGGACTTGTTTGAGTGCTGTTTCGACTATACCTTTGCTTACGATTACCGGACCTGTTAGATACTGTTTGAACTACTTTGGCAAACGTTTACTGGACTTTGAGTGTTCTCGTGTCTACCTTAAGTTGCCACAGCTGGAATTTTGAAAATCGGTGAGTACTCTCCATTTTGGTTTATTTATTAAATGGAAAGTCTACTTTATCAGAGTGTAACTCTATCTAAATCTTTCCTTGATTTAACGTCATTTCATGATTCCTAAGTAGGCCTTAAAACTGTGCAAAACTTACATGGGGTGATTCAAGACCGCGTGAAACGGGGGACCTAATTTTTTTCTTTGGACGTCAATCTTCCGGCTAACCTGTATAAGCCAGAGAGATTCATTGATTTGTTTGTTTCATAATGTTAAAAAAGTTTATTAAAGTAGTACAAATTAATGTTTTGTTCCAAGGTTATGGATTCTTACGACAACCCAGCACCTGGAACTTCTCATTCCTGGGACGATCCTGCTTGGAATACCCTCCACATCGAGGAGACACTCGCAGTTATGGATTCGTTTATCGAAGAACCAAACAGAGAAGAAACAAATTTACTTATCCATTCACCTCAATATCCAATCACGGATTCTGAATTATTGGGGATATTGTCAGAAAATGTATTGGATGAATTGGAGACAGATAATGATGGTGACTCTGATCCCGAATTTTTCGAAAATGCACATGAAAATGCTCAAGAAGACTATGTTACGCCTGGTGAAGCATGGTTTCCCGGAAAACCCGACATCTAATATAACCGAATTCCAATTCCTGAAGACCCCCGGACTGAAAGAAGATGTTGTTGATGAGCCTATTAATTATTTCGACGCATTGTGTTCTTCTAATCTGCTGGAATTACTTAAAGACTGCTCCAATGAATATGGAGAAATAGAAAAAAAATCTACCGCGGCCACAAAAACGAACGTAATAAAAATGTTGTTTCATTTAAAGACACTATAATTATTGCATATTAATAAGTTATCATTTAATTTTAATTCGACAGATTTTAAACGTTTTCAAAAACTATTTTTTTTAATTGTTATCAATTAAATTCGCAATAAAAATTATATATTTTAATCTGATACAATATTCTTAAAACTGAGAGCCCGTATTTCAGGGTAAAATTGTCTATTTACAAGTACATATTACAAAATTCAAAATATAACCTTAACAGTAACCACAGTTAAAAAGATTGACAACCACTGCTTAAATTACGAAACACACTTACCTTTTTTTTTATCCGAAGAGTTTTTTTTGCCATTTTTACAAGCTAAAACACTTTTTAAGAAAAAAGACAAGTCCTAAAACACTTTTTAATTGCGTTGTACACTGTGACGGCCACAAAAATAACAAAACATAGAATTTACCATAAGTAGTGCCAGTGAACTCGCGTGGCGAGTCGATTCAATTTATATAGCAGTGCCGGCGACTCACCTGGTGAGTCCACCGGAAAATGTAGGCGGCATCTGAGAAGACATCATGAAAATCGTAGTGGTAATGAACGTGTTAATCTAAGGGTAATCTTTAAAAAAAATGATCCCTGAAAACATTACATTCATTTTTGGCGGTCGTGTAAAACGAAAATACATATGATAAATCCTTAAATTTTTTTGACGGTGGGCAATCTTGACAACAATAACTTCTTTATAACTTTTACACTAGCTACTTAACTTTGGGGCTCGCACAGGACTTTTTTTTAAAAATAATAAAAAGCGAGTTAACCGTAGGAGAGTTTAATACAGACTGAATATTTGTTCCTTAACATTTCTTAACACGGCGTTACTTAAGTTAAGTACATCGGGTTACTCGAAAACAAGTCCCGAGTACAAGTTTTACGTACACACACACAGCAACGTATATGCAATAATGCATTTACAGTGTGCGTGTTACAATTTCATGTCAAATCTTCAATCGTACCGATGCGAAACAATAGATTGACGGAAGAAATTTCACAAGTGAGTAGTGTGCGGTAATTCTGCTACTCGCTTCGTAGCAAGTTACTAAACGTATACTTATTTGTGGGACTCCCCGAATTCAATCCGAATTGGTTTTCAAGCATAGACAATGTGTGGGTAGCCAATGTGTAAAAAAACTACTGGTGTGTAATCACCATCTCGACCCGCCGCCCCCCCATGTCGTCAAAATAAGTTAAGCAAACAGAGATACAATTAAAATATAGGTCTTAATTTAAGAAAAATATTTAGGCATAATTATTAGGTGTATTAGGATTTTAAATAAATAAAATGAGGTGGACATTTAATTCATTTATTTATTTTTCCGCATGAAGCATTTGTGGAAATAATTTTTAGCTTTTATTTTAAATTCGTCTTCATCATCATCACACTCTCGTCTATTGCATATTATTTTATTTATATCTTTACAATAATTGTAGATAAAAAATCTGCAAGACAAATTTACCAAGTAATCAACAATTTTCTTCTTGCCGATTTCACAATTTAAAAATTCAAATTTTGTTGTACTGAATATCCATGGTCTTAATTAATTATTTTAAGCTATTTTTTTCAATAAATTCCTTTTCAATATGCTATAATTTATGTCTTGTAGACTTAATACGCAACGTAGGAGTGAATCACTTGGACTGGAAAGCTACTGATTTCCTGCATATTCTCTATACCTCATATATTCTGATTGGTTATGATTGATTAACTTGTTTTTGCATTGTTCACTTGTATTTGTTATTGTACACTTATTGTTCATTGAATAACGTGGGCTCCAGCCAGAGGTTGCAAAAAAAGCAATTCTTATAAAATATAATTTATTTTACTTTAAAATATTATATTAAAATTATATCTAAGAAAGGTGACTCTAATTCGATGTGTGAATTAAGAATGAGGATCGATTACAGTTTCGAAATAAGGTAAAGAATTTATGACGCAAATGCGTTGTGCTGAGTCGGTGCCTCGTGCCATCGCGTTGGAGTCCGATGCCGTTGCAACGCAGCAGATTCCTTATAGTAAGACTGCGTAACACCTCCCCCCGAAGAACAGCAGCTATGTAGGATCTTCGTCATGAATGGAGCTGGTAGTTCATTGGTGTTTGGTCCGCCGATATTTGGAACAGCATATACCCTCTGCAGCTCTGGATGATGATTGTCATTGTTCGTTTCAGGATTTGCAGATAACTTATATCTTCTGTAGAGTATTCCAAGGATCAACGTGCTGGCGCTTATTATAAGTACGTATAGCGGGATTGTAGTGTGATACAGACTATAGCTGTCGGCTTTCAAATGTACTGGTTGCTGATGAGATATCCTTGTGTTCAATGCGTGAAGATGTTCCAGATTAATAGTATTTAATTTACAAGTAGAAATCGATGGGACAGTAGTGTTCTTTTCTTGGGATTGGCTGATTATTTTTAGAGCTTGATCTTGTAGTACTGGTTTATCTGAGGTTGTTGCGACCGGGATGCACGCTGCATTCTTCTTTTATGTAGAGATGAGCTGATAGATTTTTCCTGGGATGTACGACTATGCAGGACCCGCTTTTCTTGTATATGTGTAATTTATTGGCCTTCGGGCATTCTGCCTCTATCTACTTAGAATCTTTCTGATATACGGCAAGGAATGGGACAGGTGGTGTAAGGATTAAGGATGTATGGTTTACATTTAGGATAATGGATAACTACTTATACATACACATTATATATATTGGTTAATAAAATCGAGAATTTATATATACTATTTCTATATATGTTTCTATATATTTATATATATATTTTTATATATACTATTTCTATATATGCTGAATTCTATTTAAAATGGCGTAATTGGCATGAATGATTTTTTTTTTACTAAACTGCCTATAATAAATACTTTTATATATAGCCGAGACTATCTACGAGTCCACATTTCCTACGGTTTACCCTAAATGATTTTAGCTAAAAGAAACGCCGTCAAGCTTATTTTTTTGATATTCAAATGTGTTTTAAATCGAAATCGGTTGTAAAATTTAGTTTAGGGCTTATACTATTTAATTGATTTTAAACGGAATTTATTTTATATTTTAGTTTTTAAAGGTTAACATATTGCGGAAAAGAATGATATTGGGATAGGATTCGGGTAGGGCCTAATTAAAAAGATAATACGCTGGGTCATGGCTCTATCGTTAAGGCCTTTTAGCATTAGAGTTGGTCCCAGAAGGAGAAGGAGCTTTAGGAGTCCTGCAACAATTGGTTCGTTTTAGGAACTCTTTTAAGACGGGATTTGGCTACGGGACCACGCTTTTTCTTAGTGTAAATATGGATTGGGAGATCTGCCATAACTTTATCGTGGGAAAATCGAGGAGCTAATTTTTGACGGGATGCAAATGGGTTTTTAATGTAAATTTGTTGCTCTGGTGAGTATTCAAGTTCCGGTTTTCGATTCTGATTTCTTATTTCGGTCAAGTCTTTTCGCGTTTCTTTACAAAGGTTATGGATGGGTTATGAATGTTATGGTCTACCTGTCCTTGTGATTTGTCATGTACTGTTGAAGTAGGTGAATCGAGAGGTCTATGTCGAAAGGATTTCGTGGGTCAAAATGTCCGGTAATTACTTCTATTGGCTTGCATTTTGTAAAACTTAGCTTGACCACATATTGTATACACTTGTATTGTTTTAGTTTGTCCCTTGAAATTTTTTTTTTATATTGTTACAAAATACCCACTTACATATTCTAGTCTGCCTATTTCACGTGGATAATTTTTGTTTACAAGGTGTGTGAATGTTACTTCTGGAATTGAATCTATTTTACAAGTTGGCGATGCTTTGTAGTTACTTGTCATAATTAATTCTTTCAAAACTTGATAGCTAATCTTCTCACAATTGGTCCCAGAGGCATGAACAGTAGAGAGATTATTAACTAGCAATGTTGTGAATGCTGATTCGAACCTTTCTGGTGTTGGGATTGTGTTGCGGCATCGTGGCTCTTCATAGCACCAAAATAAATTCTATTGGGTCTTGATTTAGATGCCGCAACCAAACCGATGTCACATCATATGTTTCTTTAATATTTTGTAATAATAGTTTTATTCCCTGTAATGTCCACACCCTGTTATTTAGTGTTGGCACATGTTCCACCTGTCCTGTTGTTCGGTTTATGAATTTCATATCTTAATTGTTGTTTGGATTCAAACCAAAATTGGTGATGTAGGGACCTTGGTGTAGCAGCTCCGAGGAGAGGCTTTCCATATATCTGTCTTTTCTCAAAACTTGCGTTTATCGAGTCAAGAAGCTTATCGAAAGAAATCAGGATATCAGCAGTATCCTTGCACTGACCTGGGAGAATACCATTATCTGTGAAAGACAACAGTTAAGTGTTTTAAATTTATTTAAAAGAAACATGTCATGAAGTATACTTCTACAAATACTGTAAGACCATACTTGAGCTATAAATTTAGAAATAAATTATTTCTTTTCCAAGCAAAAGAGTTGTATGAATTATTTTAATCAAATTCAAAAAGAACTTTCAAGTTTCATATGTATGTAAGTGCACAGTTTTAAGAACTATATTTGGCCGTTTCTCTGTAAACTGTGTATTTCTACAAATACTGTAAGACTATACTTGAGCTGTAAATTTAGATCATAAATTATTTCTTTCCCAAGCAAAAGAGTTGTATGAATTATTTTAATCCAATTCAAAAAGAACTTTCAAGTTTCATATGTATGTAAGTGCCCAGTTTTAAGAACTATATTTGGCCGTTTCTCTGTAAACTGGGCAACTCATTGTCCCAGGCTAATTTTGTATAAAAAA